GACAACGAGGAGGAGGAGAAGATGGAGGAGGAGATGGGGAAGATAGACAAAGAGGAGATGGACAACGAGGAGGAGGAGAAGATGGAGGAGGAGATGGAGAAGATAGAGAAAGATGGACAACGAGGAGGAGGTGATGGAGAGAAAAAAGATGGAGAAGGAGAAGATAGACAAAGAGGAGAAGACGATAATGATTAAAAGATGAACAATGAGGAGGAGATGGAGGAAGACAACGAGAACATGCAGGGAGAAGAGATATATGGAGGAGAAGAGAAGAGGAGGTGAAGGAGGATGGATATGGAGGAAAAGATACGACAAAGAGGAGAAGGTCGTCAATGAGAAGATATACAATGAGAAGATGAAGAAGGAAAAAGATGTAGGAGGAGAAGATATACACAGAGGAGAAGATAATGAGGATGAAAAGATGGACAATGAGGAGGAGAAGATGGAGGTGACAATGAGGAGAACATGAAGAAGGGAGAAGATGGATATGAAGGAAAAAACAGACAATGAGGAGAAGATCGTCAATGAAAAGACAGACAATGAAGTGGAGAACATGAAGAGGATGGAAAAGATAGACAAAGAGGAGCAGATGGACAGTGAGGAGAAGAAGGAGAACGTGAAGGAGGAGGAGAAACAGTAAGAAGAAGACAGACAACGAGGAAGAGAAGGCAGAGGAGGAGGAAGAGAAGCTACTTCTAGGGTGGGCAGGCTGGTTGGGGAATTGTGGGATTTGAAATGAAGTGGCCAAGGTTGAGAGACCTTGAACTGGTGTTTATCTTCAGTAGAGCGGTGACCTGTGATGGTTTCAAGCGGCCAAACTTTTCACTCAGAAATGTTGGTGTTGAGGGCAGTCCCTTTGGGGATTTGTAAACTAGATTTATGGGATGATCACCGACCTGGATGACTGAGGGTCTCCGTGGACACTCAGTTACAGGGTGGAGGGGGAGGCACCATTGGAAGGAGCCTTGAAGGACCAGGTTGGGTGAGAATACCCTGCAGAAAACCTATCTAGGTGGCTCACCGAGGATTAACTACAACAATGGGATATCATCACAGCTATTATAAACAAACAATTCCCCCCCCCCCCCCCACCGAAAATACAATCAGGAGTTGGTTCAGTTACCATGAGCCTTTAGGTCCCATGTAGACAAACCGGTAGTCATCCACAGCGATGGCTTCCCAATATTCATTCAACCAATCAGAGGAGAAGTAGATCGGCGTGGTGTAGACTTCCTGATCCGGAAATGTCCTTAAAGAAACAAGGATGATGACAGCATTTTGAAAAAGCGTAACGAAGGGCAGAAGATGGTTTTAATAACTTGGGAGGGCGATCCACCCAAACAGGTACAGGAAGTCCTCGACTTACAACCACAACTGAGCCCAAATATTTCCGTTGCTAAGCAGGGCAATTGTAAAGTGAGAATTGCCCCATTTTACGGCCTTTCCGGTTGTTAGGGGGAACCACTGCGGTTGTTAAGTTAGTAACACGGTTGATAATTGAATCTGGCTTCCCTGTTGACTTTGCTGGCCAGAAGGTCAAAAAAAGAGGATCCAGTGACCCCCCCCCCCCGGGGACGCTGCAACCGTCACAAATACGAGTTTGGTTGTCAAGCATCCAAATTTTGATCCCAGAAGTCAGCTGGGAAGGACGTAAACGACGGCCATGCCACCCTGGGAGGCTCCCTCTGTCTTAAATACCACGCCGTGTGCCAAGCTGACCGCCTGATTGTGAGAGGACGCTGCATGGGTCGTAAGAGCGAGGACCGGCTCTAAGTCAGGGTTTTTTTTTTTTCTTTCATGGAACTTTGTCACTAAACAAACGGTTGCAAGTCGAGGACTGCCCCGTACGAGGAAGCACGCAGCCCAACCGTGGTGGAACTCGAGCGGCTGCAAATCGTAGGAGAAAAAGAAGAAAATAATAATAAAAACAAGGCATTCCGCACACTCAGGAGGGAAAAACGACGGCGGGTGATTGGGTTCGTGACGAGAGAGAGAGAGAGAGAGGTGCAAATTAAACACGATTCCTGCAGTTTCAGGAGGGAATTCATGCTGTGGGTTCCTGACGAGAGAGAGAGGTGCAAATTAAAGGCGATTCCTTCCGGGCAGGTGGCGTCAGGAGCACCTGAGGGAAGCTTTCCAAAAAAAAAACCCGACAACCCCAAACCCCACCAGCCGAGGGGATTTAGCGGCATGCCGACAATCTCTGGGCGAGAGCCGTGGCTTACCTTTGCAGGTGCCAATCCTTGAGGTAAAGGCATCCGCGGGCAGAGCGATAGCTTTTTTTAATGTGTTCCTTCCAATAGCTTATGTACTCCTTGAGCTTAAGGTGTTCCTTTGGGTTACAATTGTACTCCTTGACATCGCAGTTGGCCACGGGGACTACAGCCTCGCCTGCAACATAAACTCTTTCAGCCCACCGGGGTTGGATCCTTCGCTGTTTCCTGGCCTCGCTCCGGGGATAGGGGCTGAAGGGTCAAACTGTGGAGGGATCTGGGTCTAGGGGGACCCCAGGAGGGCGCGCCTGAGCGGCTGCCCCCTGGAAAGGCGCCCTCTCTCCTTTTCTGAGTGCTGGGGAGAGGAAAGAGGGAGGGAGGAAGACAGGGAAGGAGAGACAGAGACAGGGAAGGGGAGGGGGAAGGAAAGAAGGACGGAGAGGAGAGGAAGGGGAGGCAGGATTGGAGGAAATGGAGCAACAGAGGAGAGACCAGAGACGAGAGGAAAAAATGAGAATAAAGGAGGGAAGGAGAGGAAAGGAGAAGAGAGGGAGGAGAGGAAGAGATGGAGAAAGAGGAGAGGTAAGAGGAAAGGAGGGAAGGAGAGGAAAAGAGAAAGGGAGGAAGAGAGGAAACAAGAGAAGAAGAGGGAGGAGAGGAGAGAGGAAAAGAGAAAGGGAGGAATAGGAGAGAAGACAGGGACTTTACCTCCCACTATTCTCCTGCCAGAAATTCTGGATTTCCCCACCTACATCTTAAAGTAACTAAGACTGAGATATATGCTCTATCCTTAGCCATTCACTCTCTTGGAAAGGAGGAGGAGGAGGAGGAGGATGGGCTTCTAATTTTACGGCTACCCTGAAATTGCTGGAGCATCTTCCAAGTCGGCCCCCAGATTTTCAACCAGGTGGGCAGGACCTGCGGCCTGTGGCAAAATCAAGAACCGCGCCCGTCCACCTCTCGAGAAAAAGCCGGGGTTACGGCCATTTCTTCTCGAACGGAAAGGGAGGCTTACCGAAGGTTCGCAGGAGATAATCCAGGTTGGGTTTCCCGTCCGGCGTGACCCACTTCCTCCGGCTGGCCCAGCCCTCCGTGAACTTGGCGGAGAAGACGCAAGGGTCGTTGGGGATCAAGTAATCCTTGAAAAAATCCGCGTAGGTGAACGTCTCCGGCTTCTCGATGTAGTCCACATGGTTGTGAGGCTGGCAGGCGGCGCCCCGCGTCGGGCCGCTGTAGTCGCGGAAAAACTTCGTGGCACACGCGAAAGTCTCCCTGTCCATTCAGGCGAGGACAGATGCAAGGAGACTAATCCCTGTGTGAAGTCACCGGACTGGGCTCGCCAGAAATATTTTATTTTTAATTTTTTTAAAAAAGGGAGGAGTCCGGGAGGAGAGCAAAAAAGGAAGGGAAAAAAAAAATCAGGAACAGCAAAAGGGGTAGAAAACAGAAGTCCAATTCCAGACCTTGCTGGAAAACCGTCCCATTGGGCTCGTGCGAGGAAGGGCTCAAATATTCTTTGCCGTTCGGGCTTCTTGAGGGCTAGAACACTTGAGAGGCGGATGGGTAGCCCATGGGCTATTTCGAGCGGAGGGTTTTCTTTTCAGAGCCGGAGCAAAGAGCGGGATAACTTGGTTCTCTTTTCTCTTTGGCATTTCATGGAGACCAGAGGCCAAGGAGGTGGTCTTCCTAGGGACAAGCAACAGAACCATCGTTTTCACACCATTTTATCGAAGGGTCGGCTTAGGCACACTCACCGTTTCACGGTCTGGCGGCATGGGGAAGAAAAGCGGGGAATTATAATTTCTAGGCCACCCTAGAAATACAGGTAGCCCTCAATTTATGACCACAACTGATAGGTATGTTGCTTAGTGAGACATTTGTTTAAGTGAATTCCAATCCATTTTACGACCTTTCAATCGCCGCAGTTGTTAAATTAGTCATACAATTGTTGGGCTTCCCTTGTCGACTTTGATTGTCAGAAGGTCGCAAAAGGCGATCACGTGAACCTGGGACACTGCGACCGTCATAAATGCGAGTCTGTCTGCCAAACATCTGATTTTTAGTCCTGACTGTAGGGATGTCGCAACGGTCGTAAGTGTGGAAAAACTGTCACAAGTCACTTTTTTCAGTGGTGTTGTAACTTTGAACTGTTGTAAGTTGAAACTAGACACACAGACACACACACCAATGTATAAACTAGATGTAATTTTAAAGTTTATTTAATAATTATTAAATTTTGATATTTATTAAATTATTTCCCGAATTTATTCATTGCCCTGAATTTATTTATACCCCAAATTAAGGGATCACAGGGTCATAAAAAGAGAGCATATTAAATTTCTATAATGTCCACCTTAATAGAGTCTAAGTGATTCTATAAATAACTTTATTAAGATTTCAAACACGATCCTTTTAGATTTGCCATCCATCTTGCCTTGATTATGACCACAACTGAGCCCAAAATTTATCTTGCCCAAAATGTGATCATGTGACCGGGCAGTTTTCATTGTAACTTTGAATGTGGGTCATAAGTAGGGGCTTTGGGGGTCTGTCGTAACTTTAAACAGCTGCTAAGCACCTGGTCATAAGTTGAGGACTACCTGAATGGGAAGATGAATAATAGGTCAAGATTGTACAGATCCCTCATTCTCTACAGATGAAACGGATGGAAACGGACGCCCCGCAGGGATGAAGATTTATCCTGAGCAAAGTCTCTGACATTTTCTTTCTTAAAAGCAACTCTGAGAATCTCAAAAAGGAGAATTTAAATGGGTTACCGAACACAAGACGCTTTCTTCAAAGGAGCAGGGGGGGATCATTCTGTTCCCTTAGGCGCTGCCAATGGTGCAAATACAGCAAAACGTGTTACATTTAGGCAAGAAAAACCAAATGCACAGGTACAGAATAGATGGTACCTGGCTCAACAGCAGTAACTGCCAGAGGGATCTTGGTGGACGATCCCTTAAATATGAGCCAGCCGTGTGCGGCTTTAATCCTAGGCTGCTTTAAGAGGGATAGATAGAATCAAGATCCTGTTTAGTGTTCGTACCGCTTTATAAGGCCTTGGTAAGGCCACCCTTGGAATACTACATCGAGTTTTGGTTGCCACGATGTAAAAAAGATGTTGAGACTCTGGAAAGAGTGCAGAGAAGAGCAACAAAAGAATAATTAGGGGACTGGAGGCTAAAACATACACAGAATGGTTGCTGGAATTGGGTATGAAAAGATGGACTAGGGGAGCAACCTAGAATTAAGAGAAGAAATTTCATGACAGTTAGGATAATTAATCAGTGGAACAACCAGAAAATGTGGGCGCTTTATCACTGGAGGTTTTTAAGAAGAGATTGGACAACCATTTGTCTGTAATGGTACAGAGTCTGCTGTTTGAGCAGAGGGGGCTGGACTAGAAGATCTTCAAGGTCCCCTCCTTCTCTGTATTCTTTTTTAAATATCTGCTTTACCAGACCTGCTTCTTCTTCTTTTTTTAATCCAAAGGTATTCTCTGGTCTTTGCAAACTTCTCTTTGCAAATGGGAGGAAGGGGGTCTTTAAATTTTACTTCTGATGTAGTACGCTCCTGATCTGAGTGCTTCTCATTCCACAAGGTATCAATGCTTTGAAAAAGAGATTAAAAACTTGTCCTAGAGCCAAACAATGCCCGTTTCGGCTGCAAGATAAATTGAACCAACTGCTGGCGCATTCGCTTTGCAAGCAGTGGCCTCAAACTGTCAATCATATAGGAACGAAAATTCCATAAATCCAAAGAAGAGAGGATTTGTCCTGAAATGAACAGCCAACCTCACACCTGGAAATGAACACACAAATTGGCAGTGGGAACACACAAAAGATGACACACACAAACACACACACACATACTCCCACTGCCAATTTGCTGGCCTCATTGTGGCTGTCATTCCAGCAGGGTGCCATAACCATAAAAAACTAGAATTAATCATGGCAGAGACATTCATTTGCAACGTGACCTCAAGTCATCCCTTCTTTGGACCGATGCTGAGATTTTAAAATTCTTTTATAATGGCAGAATTATAATGCGTCCATTTCTATCACTTTCACCTAAATAAAATGAGGGATCTGTACAATCTTGACCTGTTCATCAGTCTTCCCATTCAAGTCGTCCTCAACTTGCAACTGGGTGCTAAGCAGCCGTTTGAAGTTACAACAGACGCCCCAAAGAACCTACTTACGACCCACATTCAAAGTTACAATGAAACACACACGGTCAGGGGATCACATTTTGGGCATGTGGCACACATTAGTCATTTGCAGCACACGGCATTCATGTGATGCTACCGTAATTTACGTTTTTGCCAGAAACTGACATTTAGGTAGTCCTTGACTTACAACAGTTCACTTAGGGACTGTTCAAAGTTACAATGGCACTGAAAAAAGTGACTGAGGATGTTTTCACACTTACAGCCATTGCAGCATCCTCCATGGTCACGATCAAAATTCGGATGCTTGGTAACTGGTTCATAGTTGTGACAGTGGCTGTGTCCCAGGATCAGATAATTCCATTTTGGGACCTTCTGACAAGCAAAGTCAATGGGGAAGCCAGATTCACTTAATAATTGTGCGATAAACTTAACATTCACTTAACAATTCACTTGCCACAACTGTGGCAAGAAAAGCCGTAAAATGTGCCAAAACTCATTTAACGAATGTTTCACTCAGCAACATAAATCTGAGGCTCAATTGTGGTCAGACGTCGATTACATTACAAACCCTATTTACATGAATTACATTACAAAGCCTATTTACATATTTTGTTTTAATCGTCCCTTTTTAATATATAATTCCAGGTGTGCAAACTTCATTAATACAGTACAGCTATTTCCTATTTTCCCCATCACAACAACCCTGCAAGGTGGGCTGGGTTGAGAGAGATAACTCACCCCTTTGAAACTTGACTAATTATACTCACCTTCCCAATATTTCAATTGTTTTTTGGATTTCAGTTTTTAACTAAGGGCAAAACCTTTAAGAAGATTACTTATCAGGAAATAATTATTAAACCTTCTGCAGTTTTTAAAACTTTTAGCAGAAACAAATAAACATCAATCTATAGCAGTGGTTGCCAACCAGTGGGCCATGGTGGTCCATGAGAAAATGTTGGTGGTCTGCAGAGAAATATCCCCCCCAAAGCGATTAATCCAGGCTGTGTGGGAACACAAGGCTTGCATCACTTGCTTGCGAACAACACAAGGTAGTGAGGGGAGGGGGGAAGGGCGGAGGGGGGGAACTTGCCCCACCTGCCCCACGCATCTGGCCTGGCCACCGGGCTGCTTCTTTCCGCTTCTTTCTTCTTCTGCTTTTGGCTGCACGCAAGGAAAGCAGCCGAAGTCTTTCTTTCTCTCCCCCAAACTCCACCAGAAATGAGTCTTTGGGACCCTGCGAGGCCTCCTGCTCCAAGAGGCTGCACCGGCAAAGACTCATTTCTAGCGGAGTTTGGGGGAGAGAAAGAGAGACTTTTGCGGCTTCTGCTGTTTTCCTTGCGTGGAGCCAAAAGTCTCTCTCTTTCTCTCCCCCTGAGAACGGAGCTGGAGACGGTATCCTGCGATCCCAAATAAAGAACGATCAATCGGTAGGAAAACGGGGTGGGGAATTTTCCTGCAGACATTTTGGGGGGATTTTCCCAGGTTCTCTAATCCACGGGATTTAAAATGATGAGTTTGGTGGTCCCTGAAGTCCAAAAGGTTGGCGGACCCCCTGATCTATAAATACTGCAGGGTGCAAATCTGTAGATGGCTTGTGGGCAAAGGACCTGCAGCCTAACGGCCAGAAGAGTGGAAGATGGGAATTGTAGTCAACGGCTTTCCAGGCTTAGGACAGAACTGAAATCTAACGGCTGAGGGGAGATGGGAATTGTAGTCGATTACTTTCTGGATTGAGGGCATAGGCTGTCCAATGGCCACAGAGAGATAGGAATTGTAGTCCAGGGGTTCGCTTGGGGAATAGAGCCCCCCCGCCCTGACGATGGCGGCTGGGAATGACGGGATCTCTGATGCGAGAGAGAGAGATGGGGATGATGGGACCCGTAATCCAATCCTTCACCTCCAAGCGCAGAACGCCTGAAAAGAGGCTCCCCGCAGCTCCCCGGAGGCCCTTCCTCAGTTTACCCTCCATTTACCCCACTTCGTCTTCCTTTTAGCTCCCCCCCCGCCGCCCCCTCAACAAAAATCCCATAGCCACGCGCATGCGTAAACCTTCCCACCCCACGACTAACCCGGCCGCCGCTGCCGCCGCCGTTCCTTCTTCCGCCCCCTCGGAGGACGCGCCCAAATGGCTGCGCGTGCGCCGTGAACCGTCTCGCGGGCGGCCTCCCCCGACCCTCAGGCAGCTCCTGCACCGCCCAGCGCGCCCCTATGCGCCTGTGTCTCGCGGCCCCGGCGTTGCGCCTGCGCACGACTTCGTTCGCCGGGGTGAGCGGGGGGGGAGCCAATCCAACGGCGCGCCGGGTTTGCGCAGGCGTCGTGAGGGGGAGAGAGAGAGAGAGAGAGAGAGAGGAAAAAAAAAAAAGAAAGCGGGGGGCGGGGGAGAGACTCGAGCAATGGCGGATTGACTGCGGCTCCTTCCCGCCGTCTTTCGCGAGCGATCGGTGAGGAGTCTCGCTGGGCACGACGTCCCTTCCCGGGGATGTGAGGGGGGTCGGCGTGGCCCTTCGGAAGCCCCTTCTCCCCAATATCTCGCCCTGAGGGCCTCGTCAGGCTCGCGCAAGGGCTGCCGGGAGTTGTAGTCTGAGGGCGGGGGAAGCCGAGGGATGGAGAGGAGAGA